TGTGTGTGTGTGTGTGTGTGTGTGTGTGTGTGTGTGTGTGTGTGTGTGTGTATGCATGTATGTATGCAATCATTTTTCCTTAGTTATGTGTTCATCCACAAAAAGAATTTATTTCTTATGCAGATGAAAAAAATGAAATAAACCTATTTGGGACAACAAAGCTAAGATAATAAAGAAAATAAACTAATCATGAGGAGCCCTTCACCATCGCAAAATAAAAAAAATCCCTGAGAATGAACCTTTTTTTTGAAGAAAAAGGAAATAAATGGAAATAACATACGAAATGAGAAAAAGATGAAGGAAGATGGTGGAGGATAGAACAGCAATCAGCCAAGGAGGTAAAAGGGAGAGAATAATAAGTGGGCTATCTTTGCTGGCTTGTAAGTGTCAGGCAGATGCTACAAGGCCAGAGAAAAACTGTGGACTCATCAGTATCTGTTCACAGCAGACAGCTAACACTGGGACAATTGGTTAGTGGTTATTGCAGCAGGAGGGCCGGTGTGAGGAAAAGAAAAGAATAAAGTACAAATAAGGTGGTCCATTACAAGGGTAGACTGTCTGATGAGACATCAAGAGGTGATCCTATTTTTTACAGAAGAAAGAATTACAGAGCACCCAAAAGTGTAAGAAATAGGAGGGATGGGTGAAGGGRAAGTGAGACTGGGATTTTCAAAAATCAGAAATGTCAGTGATAAGAACCTGACCACTCCACCGAGAATAATTTACCCATGGATCGTTACCTTGATATCTGTGTCCCTAATCTGTTTCTCCTCCTTTTCCAGCCCCTCCTGCATGTGAAGAGCTTTAGCCTTCCTCCTGCTGCCTCTGTCCTTGGCCTTCGGGTATTCCTCCAAGTCCAACGGGGGCATCGAGTGTTGTCGTATCATTTCAGGCTTCTTTGGTGGTGCTCTTATGATGCGCAGGTTGCTGGTGTAGATGATTATCTTGCCAAAGTCTAACACTGAGGACTGTCAAAAATAAAAAAATAATAATAATTACACAATCTGACATTAACTCATAGATAAAATAAATTATTTGAAATGCCAAAAATGTTGCATATACCACAAACAATTAACAATGTTACCTTCAGTTATGAAAATGCTGAAATTATCAAAGTAAATTTGAGTTTGCATCAAATCTACTGAAACACTTTAAGTTAAATGTAGACAAGGAGTCTTGTCAGAAACAAAGCATTTTTAAGGTCACCAGATTATTAAGGTATAATTAGATTTTTGAATGAAACATTTTATCCATAATTCAGACAGCAATAGGACCATCTTTAAGGCTGTTCTACTAAATAAATAGGCAGATATAAAAGGCAAGTATCTATCTTATGCAAAGCTTTAAGGGTGACTTTCACCAAAAGCTCTATAGTCGCTGAAACTTCTGAATATGACTAAACCACAAGATAAAAATAACTGAAACATGAAAATCACATAACCATGAAATCATTACATGACCGCTGTGCAACCCTGCCAGTTATGCTCTAAATAAATAAACTGTAGAAGTTTTTGCCTTKCACTGTATGATGACAACTGACAGGGTCACAGAGGCTAAGCGTTGCTGTGTTTGGGAGATAAAACAATGAAAGTGACATAAATTCAGCAGGCGATGTGCTGTGGCTGACCTCTCTGTTCTCCTGCCTCACTAATGAAGCTGCTACCACAGCAGCTCTGGAGGGATGATCAGATTAAAAGAAAAAAAAGAAGGAAAAAAATGAGAGAAATTGTTCTTTATGTTACTCCATGTTTTTCAGTGTGCAAAAAACTATTAATGCACCATCTTGCAAGGATTTGGGCCATTTTATTGCTATAGCACATTGCTATTTTAAAACATTATAGCTTCACAAAATGCATTTAAAAAACTCTTATAATAATTGTTATAAATAGAAATAAGTTCCCTCTTTCAACTTCTCCAACTGCATGGCATACCTGACCATCTCCCTCTGCTTCATCACTCATCCCGGCTTCAGGCTTGTAGTTCCTCATTCCTCTGTATACGTTTATTCTTTGGGCAATGAGGCCTGTCGGAGGATAGACCCCTGAGAACAGAATAAAACYTGTTGTCAACAGAAACTGAAAGCTTGCTCCTGAAATTTCCAAATCAAACAAAGACTCTTATATGTCACATTTTATTGAGTCAGGTTAAGTCCCTATGGTGCATTTCTGCCAACTTCAGCCTCTAACTAATGCAGGGTTCTGAAGGCAGTTTGTTCACTGGAGTAAAGCAGGTCTCGGTTCACCTAGGCCGTTCTGCATGGAGTTTGCATGCTGTCTCCAAGGATGTGTAGGTTTTCACCACATTCTTCCACTTTCATCTAAGCATGGTTTAAATAAGACACTATACAGAATGCTTTTAGGTGTGCGTGTAGACATGTATTTGCCTTATGTGTCTCTGAGCTGGTCCAGCAATGGGCAGGGCAACTAGTCCAGAGGATACTCTCCACCCCATCAATCATTGACTACTAATATAAACTCCAGCCCCACTTGTGACCCCTAACAAAACAGAGCAGGTGCCAAATGAACACTGACTGGTTTAATCCTCTTGTTTGCTTCTGTTTTTTATTTATTTATTTTTGTAGCCTTCTTGACCCATGCAGCTTACACTGCCCCGTCAGTGGAATAAGTACAAACAGTTGGGTTTGAGTGTTTTCATTACAAACAGTTACAAACTACTCCAGTGGTACTACTTCACAGATTTTTGAGCTTTGTGGGAGATTAAACATTGATGACCGAGACAGCGCAGCACAAAGAGAATATTGGTTGTGTTAATTGTGTAGCCCCTGGTTTTAAGTAATAAAACTGAGGTTTTAGTAAGAGGAACAAAATGCTCTAAAAATCCCAAGTTTGTAGCAAAACYTTCACTGGGTCAAAATGCAGTTRATAGCGCTTATAGCTAATWACTTATTATGACCCCCMCACTCYAAGTGTAAGCGGSAGTCGTTGTTTTCGTACTGTTTTTTTTTTCAGTGATTTTTGGTCWACCSTACCACAAAAARYGCTGCACTGATCAACATGAAATTTGGCAGGGCTGTAGATSAGTCRGACCTACTCTGCATTTGAGGAGGGGGCTTCTTTRAAAGTGGGGGTGTCAAGACATGCAAAAATTCTTATAACAGAAACTGTTCAACATAGAAGCTTCAGATTTATTTTGTTCTTTAGCTCTCACGAAGCTCTATCCATCAGGTCAACCAATCCCCCCCCCAAAAAAAAGACAGTTAACATGATGCAAATTACTTAATAGTTAGTGTTTGTGYCAGCCAAATGTTCAAACGTAGAGTTTGCTACTCTAATCTGCACTTAAACTCATATTCTGCAAACAACAAAAGCTTACATCCTAAACTAAGCTAAGCACTTTTGTGTCAATCTTCCCTGAAAAGGTAATTTTCCTAGCAGATYTTTTCATAGCACTTTCTCAACAATACCCTGCATTGAATAAATATACGTTAAAGCTGTTGTTTTTTTATTATTGCTTTAAAAGAAACAATAAAAAACATTTTATACCTGTCTTTTGTCATATTCACACTTGATTCTCCACTGGTTCATGTTCTTTCACACCATTTTGTTCAACTGCACTGATCATGCTGAATTTATAGTCTTTAGTAGTGCATTAAGATATTTTAAAGGCATTCTTTTGAAAGCTTTATGGGTACACTATATACTCCCTGAAAATATAGAACACATTCAATAAAAACACTCCAGTAGTTTAGTCCRAGTAAAAGCAATTTTATGTTTAAAGTGCCAAAATAATCCATGCCAATAAGTTTAATGGGGTGCCTGAATTGCAATTTCGAAAACATAACATTTGCAGCAGCTTATAAGCTGACTAAAATGCAGCATTTGTGTTGCGTAATAAACAGACTCACCTTGTTGGTCTCCATGAGAGTCTTCAAAGCCGCAAAGCTGCTCCATCTCCAGGTGGCTGGGTGGGATTTTTCGGTGAACGAAGCTGTGAGGGTATTTCTCCTCKGGACTGTCCAGCTCCTGACCGTCCTCGTACACGTGCTTTAACACCCGGCCACTATAGGATGACGCCAGCTTGAACCTCACCTGTGAGTTTCAGGAGAAAACTGGCTTTTAACAGAACCGCTCAGACAGTTTTCTAAATTTAACAAACGCGTCATCAGAAATCGTAGTGCTTTATCTGCGTAGCTTAAAATAGAAGATCTGTGTTGAAACAAAAGCACCATTTGGTCTGACAAAAAGGGATGCGTGCAAACATTTGCTGAATGTCATTATTCAAGCAAACCTCTTGTTTTTTTCTCAACTTTGCTCAATGTCAGATATTAACAAAAGATTCAGTCAGTCAAACAATATGCCACTATTTAAATAATAATAATAATAATAATAATAATAATAATAATAATAATAATAATAATAATAATAATAATAATAATAATAATAATAATAAATTAAAGAGAATGATAACTGAAATGACCTGAGTAAACTTTTACTCATTGTGAAAGATTAAAAGTACTTTAAAACTATAAAGCTAAAGACAAAAAGTGGACCCCATAAATAACTCACTTTTCTGGGCTTCGTGCCTTCATAACGCTGGTTCAGTTTCCTCTGGAGTTCCTCCATGGTGGCTGACWGAAGAAGGGATGCAAAAAAAGTATCAGTCCATCCAATAGGCTCTTCACTTGGAGTAAAATGACATTAGCTGTGCTTCCTGGGGTGATAGAAGAATGTTTAGATAGCCAGATCAAATATTGGATTGATTTTCAGCTTGTTTGGGAAAAAAAACTGAAACCCTGTGTGTTGGGAGTGGGTGGATGTTAAAGATAGAAAAGAATAGCTTTGAYTGTCCTGCCTCCAGAGTTGGAGTGTACCTACTCTTTCAAGGGACCTACCTTTCCAGCTCTCCGTGCTAAATTATTCACAACTAGATCATGTGTACGAAAGGGCGGTGGAGAAACTAGAAGCCCCGTCATCAAATAATTATGATCGTCAAAATAGAAGGTATTTGTGCAGCTCTGCAGAGTTGAGGAAGTGAAACYGAGAGAAGGGCACTGAATGTGTGTGTGGGAGATGTTAGATACTTGTAACACTGTTACTGGACTAAAGCCAAGTTTTCTCAGTACTGAAAATAAACGTGACATTTGAAYTCAACTGCTGCTATGAAGAAACATTCACAAAAACGTATCTATAATTAGTGAGGTTCGTGTGGCAGACAGTAATCTGTCCTCACTGATTCAGCAGTTTATGCAAATACTATTATTTTACCTTTTCATTTAACACAAGTTTTACATTACATAAATAATAAAATATTACTGCTGACAGTGATTGGATTTGAAGTTAGCGATACTGGAAATTTTGGAACCAAATAATTTTGGGCTGGTATCGCCAAACCAATACTTTTTACTTGAAATGTCATGTTCATTGAATAATTTTGTGATTTGAAACACAAGACGYAGAGTTTAGGAATTTAAAATAGTTTTCTATTACTAATTACGGCAATATGAAACAATGTTTAAATTAATTTAAAAAAAATTCATTAGCTTCTACTACACACTATTTATTTGATAAAAAAGTCACTAAAGCAACAACAAAAA